TTCAGGAACTGGCAAGTTTAATAGTGGTTTTAGTCTATCCGAATCAGGTTTCAATGTCTTCTTTTCAATAGTATATCCTAGTAAATTAATCGATTTTTTATTATATACACACTTATTTTGATTAAGTGTAAGCTCGTATTTCTTAGTTATTTCTAAAAATTTTGCTAAATTTGAATCATGGGACTTTTGATTTTCCCCACATATTGTCACATCATCTAAATAACAGAAAACACCTTGTAAATTTTCTTTTTGGATTATTGAATATATCACTTTCTGAAAACAGGATACTCCGTTTGTGATCCCAAATGGAATTCTTTTAAATTGATATAGGCGACCAGCTGCTTCAAAAGCTGTAAAAGATTTATCTGTTTCTCGAATTGGAATTTGGTGATAAGCAGATTTTAAATCGATGGTGCTAAATATCGAATATTTGGCTATTTTTGTTACTAATATATGATTCGATATTTGGAATAGTTTCTTCGCTGACCAGTTTTCACACTTCTTGTATAAATTTATAATCATCTTCGGAATATCGACGAGATTTCGTTGTTATCGGCTTACAGTCTTCTGTAAGATTTTCAAATAATGAAGGTGGTTCAACCGGTGCCTGTACTAAACAGCAAATTGAAAGAGGAGCTCTAGGTCCGCCAAAAATTACGTTAACTGTGTTATGTTTTGCCATAATATCATGACATGACCAATTATCAAATCAGTGCATAGTATTGATAGAACTAGAACTTTTAGATTAGTATAGCATTCTTCAAAAATTTGCTAATTAATAAAACAATATCCTTTTATGTGCGAATTGCAAAAAGTAGATGCCATAGACACTTCTTGGCAAGTAAATATTTTGAATTAATTTTTATTTGCAAAATCTAAATCTAGAAAAGTGTCTGAACTTCCAGTGTCTAATAAAGCATTTGTCTTTATATGGTTCATGGATATTACAATTATGGCTTTTGATAAGCATTGCAGAGATTTCGTAAAAGTTGAAAATATGCAAAATGTTGAAGCTGATGTCGGTTTATTCTTTGATAATTTTGATTTGATGCATACCTTAGAAAAATGTCCAAGTTTCTGGCAATAAGTACAGGTTTTATCACGAGCAGGACACATAGCACGTGGGTGTCTTGGATTTCCACAGAAATAACATTCTTTTATACGACGTGAAGCAAGCGGAAGCTAACTGCTCTTGATTTTCAGGTATAGTTTCTATTGCACTTGTTTCAGTTAAATAGGCTGCATTTATCGATTTTTGAGGCAAAAAATACAGCTCAGATTGTTTTTGAAATTCTTTTAAGGTTCTGCATCGTGATATAGCTTCTTCCAGTGTTAATGTTTGAGATCCTAATAGCCTTTGACGAATTGTTGATTGAAATAATCCGCTTATAAAAGCATCTCGTATAAACTCATTTCGATTCTGTTCAGCAGTTACTGATTTGAAATTGCAGTCTTGACTTAACAATTTTAAGGCCTGAATATATTGGTCAATAGTTTCATTCAACTGTTGTTTGCTTGTAGAAAGTAGATGTCTAGCAAACACTTCATTTGTAGGTTTTATATATAAATTCTCTAAAATCTGTATAGCATCTGTATAAGTTTTCGCTCCACTAATGTGTTCATAAACTGAATGTGATACAAAATTTATTAAAAGCTGTAACTTATCTCTATCTCCTAGCGTCTGGTCATCGGTTGAATTTTTCTCCAAAATTTTTTTAAAAGTTTCATACCAATGTCGATATTGTTTTGAAGCAGTGGAGGAATTTGTATCACATTCGAATCTCTCAGGTCTCAAATACTTATCCATAATTGATAGAAGTTTTATTTATTATTTGCGAATAAAATTGTAGTAAATAAACCTTTCTAAATTGAGGCTTTTATTCGCAAAACTCAGCTAGTTTTACAATTCATACATTTAACAATGTCAATTTGACAAACATAGTATTTATAACAAAAAGGTATTACTAGTAGCTATTTATTAGATAGAGGTGATAATGGAATGCATTAGAAATAACATATCACAATCAGTAAAAATCGTGACTCACCACGCGCTTTGCTGGATGGATTCAATAAAGGAAAGCAACAAACGCTTAGCCAGGTGGGAACTCAAGTTAGAAGAATTCGACTATACAATTGTTTATAAGAAAGGTTCAACGCATAGAGATGCTGATTGTATGTCACGCAACCCAGAACTCCAACCAGAAATCAAAGAGAATGAAGGATAGAAAGAACTTCCGACTTTTGCGTTGAAAACACAGGAAATGTGCACGTTACAAAAAAATGACCAAGAGGTGAGACAACTTGGAAATGCAGTAAAAAATCCAGAGGACCCAGACATCAACATAGGCATTCGAAAAAGGGCAAATAATTTTAGAGTCGAACATAACCTGCTGTATAAAATTAATAAAACGCAAAGAGGCTTAGAGAAAGTGCTTGTGATTCCAAAATGAATGAGAAGTGAAATCCTGTGGGAACTTCATGCTTCGCCAACATGTGGACATTTGGGCTTAAGCAAAACAACGAATAAGATAAAAAGACGATTTTTTTGGGACGGAATGCTGAAAGGCATAGAAAAATATATTAAGGGATGCCAAGACTGCCAAGCAAGCAAGGGACAGCCATATAGAAAAACTCCAGGGTTTTTACAACTAATCCAGGTGGGGACGATATTTGACAAAATAGGGATTGATCTTCTAGGCCCGTTCAGAAGAAGTAATCAAGGGAAAACGATGCTAGTAGTGTTTACGGACTATGCATCAAGATACGCCATCACAGCTGCCCTACCAAATGGAAAAGCAGGGCCAGTAGCGAAGTTTTTACTGGAAAGAGTATTCTTGATACATGGAATGCCAAGACACTTACTGAGCGACAGAGGAAAATTATTCCAGTGAGATATAGTCAAGGAATTGGGTAGAATAATGGGTGTAAAAAGCCTGTTTACAACCGCATACCATCCTAATTGTTGTAATTGTCTCACTGAAAGGCTAACTAAGACAATAGCTGACATGTTATCCATGTAGTGTAACACACAGCAAACAGACTGGTGTAGCTATCTACCATTTATAACATTTGCATATAATACAGTGATACAGGATACAACAAGATTTAGCCCGTTTATGAACCCACACTACCAGCAGAAGCTGCATTGTTGGACGCTGACAACGAAATGGACTCTGCAAATTAGAGAAAAGGCACTCTTGATAAGAAACATAGCAGTAAAAAATATACGAAAAAGACAAGGAAAAGATAAGGGACGTTTTGACGAACAACATAGAGAATTAGATTTCGTAGTTGGAGACAAAGTTAAGGTGTTCATACCAATTAGAAAGGTTGGAAGAAGCGAAAAGTTACTCTTAAGATGGTTTGGACCATACAAAGTAATTATAAAAATGGGAGAAGTGAATTAAGAGGTAGAAAAGATTGGAAGCAGAAAAAAGGAAACGGTCCACGTGAGTAGGATGTTACCCTACGACGATCCATGGACAGAAGTTGCGCCCATTGAAGAAAGGGCAGAGGAGATAGATATTGCTAAAGACAAAGAAGAAATAATTGAAGAGGAAGCAGAAACCCAGGTAGAAGAAGAAGACTAATTGTACAGATAGAACATAAGCAAAACTATGAAGTACGGAAATAGGAAGTCGAGATATAATAAAAAGTAGAGTAAGACATTAAATAAAGTAAACAAGGAGGGACGGAGAGGATGATTTCATAATTCTAAAAGAAGATAGAGAATATGAATTACTATAAAAAAAAAAAAAGAATCAGAAACACTCTTACCGACGGAAGGGCTGGACATTCCCTCCGTAGATGCCGCCGAATGGATCTTAGAAAAGTGCGAGCTACAAAAAGAAGGCATATGGGTATACAAAAAACAAGTTAGACTAAGCTTACCGGTTGGAGCCATGATCAGCAAATGAGGAGATGATGAAATTTGGTGGCCCGAATGTGGGTCTTAATTAAACTAATTATAGGAATAAGCATTTTTTTTTCTGTATTAAAAATTTATTTTTTTGTATATATTCACATAAATTCGACCAGGGACGGACATAGCAAAGCCGAAACCAGAACTAGAAGGGTAACTGGTGCCTTGCGACAACTCTGAACTAAGCAGGGGCTCATGTCTGTATCAATAAACAAGAAGAATAACAGTCCAGGAACCAGGCAACGACACTTAGACCGTGGGACCATTTACACCCCATGATCTAGCTGACCCACCATGAAGTACTTGGAGCCAGAACCAATCCGCTTAAGACAGACTACAGAATAATAAACAAGAAGCATAACAAACCAGGAACCAGGCAACAACACTTAGACCGTGAGACCGTTTACACCCCACGATTTAGCTGATCCACCAAGAAGTACTACCAGAACAGACCCACAATACAGAAAACATACTGAGCGAGTTTCTCTCCATCTATCCACCCTACACCCTCCGTCACAGAGAGGCTGTGACAATATTTTCAAATCATCTGCATATAAGAGAAATTGCGAGTTCTTGATATAAATAGATATGTCGTTAATCAAAAGCTTGAAGAGAAGAGGACCCAGTATTAAATCTTGAGGTAATCCAGAAGTCGCCAGATAACCATCAAAAAGCGCATTATTGAACTTTACGACCTGATGTCTATCACTAATATAAGAACTTATATTCTACAAGATTGGAGTCAAAAGATAGTTTTGAAAGTTTGCTAATGAGATATTACTTGAAAATTCCCCTTATATTATAATTATTTGTCATAAGGTCAAGAAGTGTGTATGCTGGATTCATATCAAGGACATTTGATGTCCATCAACAAATCAATTATATGATGATACGAAACTAGAATAAACAGGGTCCTAGAACAGATCCTAGGGTAACACTCATCGAGCCAGAAACTGCAACAGCAATCTGAGAATACTATTTATTAAGCCCTGAAGTGGGGGACAGGTTTGGGATCTCTGGAGAAAAAACGCGGTTGACAAAATAAAATGTCAACTAAAATATTTAAAACCAAACTTACTGTCTGCGAACTTTTTTGTTCCTTATGGACTTTCATGAGCATGTCCAAATATTTTCTCCATAAAATAGGTTTATTAGCAGGTGACACCATCAGAATCCCATCCTTAAATCTTTGTACTGCCTTTAGAATATAAAAATGTGGAGTGCTTCTTTTACGATCATAAAGATAAGAATCGCCTAAAAATTAACATGTATAAGTATTATGAAAAATATATTAATCAGATATTTTTTTGACTTATTCTAGAATTTAAAGTGAAATATCAATACCAAAGAAGAAACAAATGACAATTTAGAAAAAAACAGATTAGGAAAATGTAAAAACTGGATTAGCACATCTCAGCATCACTGAGCTTGACATGTAAGATAATTGCTTTGGGAAATAAATTATCTATCTACACTGTGGGCCAAATTTGACTCTGAATATATTTTTTTTTGATTAGGCGGATTTTTGTGAAATTTTGTGTGAATATTAGGTGGGCCTTTCCTTAATTGTAGAAAAAATATCTAATCAAAATGTACAGGCGGAGCCGAGTAAGTAGCAGTATTTTTAATCATAGTCTTTGAGACCGTTGCAAAACTAAATTTTTTACTCTAAAATTGCATAAATTATTTGAAAATATTAAGAAAATATCGGAGAAATGGCTATGTAAAAATGTTTCGAAAAACTTCAGGTTTTCTATTAAAGACTGATTTTTTTCGAAAACTTTGTTAAATAATATTACCATAAATTATTATAAGTGTAAGATATTATTTACCATAGTTTTCGAAAAAAATTCGTTCTCAATACAAAACCTTAAGTTTTTCGAAACATTTTTTCATAGCCTTTTCTCCGATATTTTCTTAATATTTTTAAACAATTTATCCAGTTTTAGAGGTAAAAATTTAATTTTGCTACGGCCCCAAAGGCAATTAATAAAGATACTGCTTCTTACTTGGCTCCCCCTGTACATTTTGATTAAATATTTTTTCTACAATTAAGGAAGGGCCCACCTAATATTCACACAAAATTTCACAAAAATCCGCCGAATCAAAAAAAAAATTACAAAGAGCGAAATTTGATCATGGCGCCATCTAAGATTAGGATTGAACACTAAACAGCACTTCTGCTGTTTAGTGTTGGGTGGAATAGCAAGGAAAATTAATCCAAAATTTTCACACAAAAAATATATTCAGAGCGAATTTGGGTTCCTGGTTCCTAATAAATTTGGCCCACAGTGTATTATATCTATCTATCTCTCTGCAAAATGGTTCAGCTATTATCAGCGAAAAGTTTCAGAATATGTTGGTTATAATGATTATAGCAATATTGAGCATAGTAGAGAAATCAATGAAATACTAGCAGTGTTGAAGCATTAATTTCTAAAATTGCGGACATTTATTATGATTCAATAAATATGTAATAACAAAAGTGCTCTAGAAAAGCTTACTCTGATTTAGAAATAGGGACCCTAAATTGAAACTGTTGAACACATTTCCGGCTTTTCCCAAATTATTTGAATTGACAATATGTGACCAGTCAATAGACCTATCTATTTTACCAGACAAAGAGGTAATAATACGAAAACTTTATCAGATAAAAAAAGACGCAGAACGCTTATTGCGCAAGACGAGGCAAAACGTACCAAATTATGTTAGACTTACGTATAGCAATCCGTTCTTATTATTTGCACGGGATAAAAAAGGAAGGAGGAAAACCGCTTGACATGCAACGTATTTGTCAATCAAAAACACAAACAATTGAAAATCGATCACTTGTCGAGCTACGTCAAGTTGAATATCAAGCATAATTTTATCCTTGTTAGACCACGGGCAATGAACAAGGACAAGAAGATGCCCAGCGTGCAAAAGGATTACTTCACACCTGTACTAGTTAGCCAATAAAAATGCATTGCCTCGTGTTGCGCGCGCATACAGGTAAAAATAGATAGGTCTATTGAATATATAAAAAATGCTATATTTTGAATATGAGCCAGCATGGTTATATAGTACCACTCGAAGCTATATGCGAATTAAGAAGAATTTTAGAACTTTTGCTCCATGTGAATTAGCATCGAGTCTGATTCGAGTTTCTTTAATCAACATAAGTGTTGAAGAAATTGAATTCTTTGGTGTTGGCAGAAACTCCATAGTTATTCAAATCTTATTAAGCTAGGAAACAAAAAGTTTGAGTACCAAAGAATACAGCGATTAGGGCTTAAAAAGAGAATGAAGGCGTTCTTTAATAAATAGAGCGCTTGCTTTTCCAAATTTAAGGGTACAAAATTGGGAGTGTTTGGTAGAAGATACTGCAATTAAAGTATGCGAACTTGTCCACTTTATATGAGCTTTGATTAGGCATCAAATTAAACCTAACTTAAAAAAGGAAAACACAAACCTTTTAATTCCCTTAAGGCAATGAAAGTCCATGCATCTGGCTCATTTGTATATCCAAGAATAATCTGTTCTATAGTATAATCGACAACTCCCTTGAAAGGTTCCAAATTTTCAATTATCAGTATGATTTCCTTCAAAAACCTGTAAGTAATTTTCGCCCTTACAATTCCATCAATGTATGTTTTGAAGCGATTTAGTATGAGTGTTAGTGTTTGGTGGTTGCTCTTTTCCTTGTAAAGTTTCATTTCATGGTAAAGTTTAATTTCCAATTCAATTAGGTCAAGGTAGATTCTCATACTATCTGGATAGCGGTCTCGTCCACGTAGCAAAATGCAGAAGGCATTCTCGGTTTTGCCAATTATGAAATACCAAGATGCTATTTTTCTGACGACTTCAGGGTTATATTCAAATAACTAAAACAATAATATTACATATTATTCATTTAACCTTTTTGTGATTTGTTTAATGTATTTTTCAAACATCTTGTAAGGATGATTTTTTTATCCCACACTAGCTGAATTGATAAATCTTTATTGGTATATATATTTTTTCAAATGCGTATTGATGGTCCAAGAATTTTACTTAGCAAATTTCTGAATTTGAATCTGAATTCATTTTTGTGGAGTAATGAATTGTCTAATGCGCTAGTTCTGCCACAAAGTTTTAAAAAACGCCTCAGAATAGCATTTAATTTAAATTAAAAAAATTAACCTTTAGAACCCCTTTTAACAAGTGAAAATCACCATTTCCAAAAAAGTGAAATAACAACGTACTTAAATCATCAATAGAAATACATAATAAAAACTCACCTCTAACATGTTGGTAGCAATTTGACGGGTTAAAATTTGAGAATCAGGAAAACGTTTTATGAACTCGAAACAATTCGAATTGAAGTGATAATCATTAGGATAGTGTTTCAAGCCTTTGCGATAAGTTGCCAGAATTCTCTTTACAAATATCCTTTCCAACTGATCAATATCTTGAAGAGCGTGAACGTGTTTTGCGCGTCTCCGCAGTTCAAAATATACTCCTTCTTCATATTTAGTTGCAGAGTTGAAATCATCTAAGCCCGGCTTCAGAGCAGCCAATTTTAGTTCATGCAGTCCCACTTTATTTATAAGTTTACTAAAAAGAAAATAATTGAATAATTTTAGTTTTGAAATCAAAATCTATTCAGCAATGGAACTCGAACTACATAAGCACATCAAAATAGTCTGGGGAACAAGATAAACACCTATACTTATCAGAAATTTTTTTGCTGATTTTATTAAAATATGTATATTGTGACGGCCGCCAGTGTGTCAAGAATGGGCTGTCGAATTCCCTAGAAATTGCAGATTCCTATTAATCTGGTAGATTCTACTTAATCGAGAAAAGGGGAGTTATCGCGTGTGTTCTAGATTTTACAGGAATAGATTTAGGGATATACAGGGTAGTCCAACAAGCGCGCCTCGGTCAATAGTAGCCGACCCGTTGAACTTATGGAAAAATGTTCTGTATAAAAGTTTTAGCATTTCATATCTGCTATAACCTAAAATTATTTTCAATTATACAGGGTGTCTCAAAAAAGTGTAATCACAAATTTTATATTTTTTTAAAATGGAATACCGTATGTTTTTATGTGGCAAAAGAAGTCTCTATATGCTCTGTATTCAACTTTAAAATCGCATTTGGGTTGAATGCAGCGTTGCCAAGTTATGATTTTTCGAAGAAAAAAATAGACCAAAACATACTTTTCTAAAATTGTCATATCTCCGCCACTGTACATTGATTACCCTTAAAAATTTACATGTAATCTAATGTTAGCCTAGTTGCTCCTACAATATCTTCATTTTTCGATTAAAGTATACAGGGTGTCCAAAGTATTTGTCTAAACACGTCATTTTTAAAGTCCATTTTAATTGAGTTTTTCAAATACAATACCCCGTATATTATTTTTCTATCGGAAAGCTGGAAATGTCCTCTTTCAGAAAATATTATATTTGCCGTATCTATCTCATTAATATTTTAAGATATTAAGATTTTCCCTTAACTTTGCATAAAAAATGGTAAAAAGTAAAGTAATTTGGTAGTTTTGCCTGGAAAGTTTTTCGGGAGTTTTGAAAATTTTACAGGTTTAGATGTGTTCTTTCCGAATTTCTACTTTGTCACCTCGTATTTTTGCCGCTCGCGCCGCCATATTGAAAAATTTCGCCAGAAACAGGTTTTTTCACAATATCTCCTTTCCTTCTCATTAACATGAAAATAGATAAAAAAATTGGTAAAGGCCTTTACCCATGACTTCCCTCGTCAAACCACTTCATCCTTTTTTGAATAAACATCATTTAATTTTTTTTTTTTTTTTAATTGTAAAATAATATAAAAATCCTAACATTCCTAACTCATTATTTGAAAATAGGAAGTTGATGATGACACACCGAAAGCGAAACGTCGGATTCAAACTTTCAGGTCCCAATCTTGTAGAGCCGATGAACTTAGGAAACGTTCAAATTTGAACGATTCTTCTGAAATAAGTACTAGTTTTGGAAATATGTATACGACCAAATATGTTTGAACACAAAGGGCCTTATATCTTGGAAAGGAATAAAAAAATTTGACAAAAACGAAAACGTAGCTTTAGTGAGTTCCAAGAACAGTACCTTCTTGCTGATGTAACCAACTTCGTATTATTAACCGTTCTTGTTAGTGTGGCATGGTTTTTGGAACACCCTGTATATCTGCGAACAAAAACCCTTACATTAGCGCCGCCGGTAGGGGTTCAAAGTCTATACCAAAAATCGTTGTTCTAGGTTGAGCCGTTATTGAGCTGGAGCGTCAACAGACCGACATGTCTGTCTGTCGGTCTGTAGAGCGACGACAGACCGACGGAATTGAGAACACATGATTTTCGTAATCTAGGGACCTGAAAACGTATAAATGTGAAAAAATCTCGAAGTCGATTTTTTACGAGAATGCAAATACTTCCCTTTACCGGGGGAAGTAAAAATAAATACCTAGTTTTAGCGTACGCGTGCTGCAAAGTCGACTCAACACGCGTAGGAATGTTAGGATTTTTATATTATTTTTCAAAAGGAAAGGAGATATTGTGAAAAAACCTGTTTCTGGCGAAATTTTTCAATATGGCGGCGCGGCAAAAATACGAGGTGACAAAGTAGAAATTCGGAAAGAACACATCTAAACCTGTAAAATTTTCAAAACTCCCGAAAAACTTTCCAGGTAAAACTACCAAACTACTTTACTTTTTACCATTTTTTATGCAAAGTTAAGGGAAAATCTCAATATCTCAAAATATTAATGAGATAGATACGGCAAATATGATATTTTCTGAAAGAGGACATTTCCAGCTTTTCGACAGAAAAATAATATACGGGGTACTGTATTTGAAAAACTCAATTAAAATGGATTTTAAAATTGACGTGTTTAGACAAATATTTTGGACACTTTGTATACCTAAATCGAAAAATGAAGATATTGTAGGAGCAACTAGGCTAACATTAGATTACATGTAAATTTTTAAGGGTTATCAATGTACAGTGGCGGAGATATGACAATTTTAAAAAAGTATGTTTTGGTCTATTTTTTTCTTCGAAGAATCATAACTTGGCAACGCTGCATTCAACCCAAATGCTATTTTAAAGTTGAATACAGAGCATATAGAGGCTTCTTTTGCCACATAAAAACATACGGTATTCCATTTAAAAAAAATATAAAATTTGTGATTACTCTTTATTGAGACACCCTGTATACCCGAAAATAATTTTAGGTTATAGCAGAGATGAAATGCTAAAACTTTTATACAGAACATTTTTCCATAAGTTCAACGGTTCGGCTACTATTGACCGAGGCGCGCTTGTTGGACTACCCTGTATAAAAGGCCGCTATTGCTTTGTAGTTTTAAGTTTTCAGTTTGACTGTGATACGATTCAAATAGTGATTATTGCGAGTTTGTAAGAGTTTAATTGTTGAGTTAGTTATTAAAGTAATTAGTGTCAGAGTGTATTGTTAAGTGGAATAAATTATTGCTGTGTTAATTGGACTTTGATTTTTGGAATAAACGAAACGAACAACGAACCCAAGATTTCTGTCAGGCAATCCAAAGCCGTGACAATATTTTTTAAACTAAGCAAGCTTGCAAAAAAAGCGATATGGTAAACTTGATAAATAATACCCAGGTTATCTTTGAAAAAAAAGTGGTTTTGTCTTAAAATTAAAACACAGATATTTCTTATTCCCTAGACTATTTTGATGAGTGAATAGTATGTACTGAATGAAGGTGACGAACAGAAATTAAAGAAGAGAACTGTGTTGTTTATTTAACCCGATAGCTACAGGACTATTAGATAGTTCGGAGTGTCATTAAGGCGGTTAGACCTATGGCCCAGCGTCAAATCAACCCCCTGATCGGGCACAAAACTTTCATTATAGGTGCTTAAAACACTTGTCTGCACCATTCGTAACTAATAAAGAATAAGAAAGGCCAACAAAAATTAAGAGATCAGATATAATATTTCCTAAAGTAAATTCAAAGAAATTTCTTAGTGTAGGCTGTGCATGTGCATTCACCAACTTAACAGTAGAAATACATATATAATAAAATTAATTCAATTGAAAAAAACTTATACAGTGTGCGCCATAAAGTTGGGTACATATGGGAAAATTCTTAATTATTCCTTTTTTCAAAAAACTTTTTTTGGGGATCGTTAGGGCATGTGTGCTAACCAATTTTTTTTTTGCTAAATTGAGTTTTTTTATAAAGTAAATGTCGAGTTTATCTTAAAAAACAATTTAAGACACTTTCCACCATCTTTTCCACAGCATCCCCTATAGTTAAAGTCTGGACATACCGACACGTCACTGATATCAAGACGTTTTTAGTAAACTATTAGAATCACACTATTTAAGGGATTTTTGCCCATATCTATAGACTTTTGAATTATAATTAAGTATTCTGTAAAACTATGATCTTTTGAGTCTGTTTCATTTTATGTACTTTTTTGTATTATGATTTCAAATGAAGACATATTATATTATTTTTATTATTATTTATTGGATCTTTTTGAAAGTCCTAAAATTTAAATACAACATCATTTGCAAATATATGCGGTACACACAAAATGTTTGGCATTACATTATGTATTGTAGAATGTAGGGAAGTACTAGTTTTAGTTTAAGGTAGGTACCTTGGATGATATAAACTCTAACAAATCCAGTAGGCCAGGAAATAAAGCTTGACTTGACAAACTCGACAGAAGTTCTGTTTTATTTTATTTTTTCTGGTAGGAGGGGCTGCTTACTATGGGTCTAACTTTTTCCAAGAAATTCTCCCTGGAGCATCCCCTTTCATCCCCCTAAAGGTCTTTTTTTTTTGATTATTCAATGTGAAGAAAAACACCAAGTTGTGATCTCAAAACTTTTTAATATATGATGTTACATGTTTCGCCCAATAATAATAATAATAATAATAATAATAATAATAATAATAATAATAATAATAAGTCTTTATTTCCAACAGGCCAGAAGCCCAATTACAAGAAAATCAATATTAATTAATTGCAAAATAACAAAAAAGGAAAAATTAACTAAAATTAAATTAAAAATTAAGGTATAAAAAGGTTGCCTCTGTAGTAGAGTTAGGTATGTGTTCTCACTAACTCTTCAACAATTAAACTAATAGGGCTGTTATAAATATCGCAGATATCACAGATCCCGTTAAAAGTATAACACATCATGTATAATGGTGACTGGAATAACACATTTGTCCGGGGAGTATCGAGAAAGAAGGTTAGTGAGCGTCTGGCATTCAAACGAGGTACCAGAATGCTAATGGGCATCATTAGACCTATAAAAAGAAAACCTCTTAAACATATAACAACGTACAGAAAATAAATACCTTCAACTGAACTCTCAGAGAGAGTGATTCCAAAAGAGGCATTACTTTAATACATTTTTGCAATACAAATTTAAAAAACTTTAAAAAATAAGTTCAACAAAAATTTGGAACATATCTCGAAGCTGGCGTTAACGTCGGAGCCGGTGGGCAAGGTACGACCATCTCACGATTCCTGAGTGAGCACGTTAATCAAAGCTTCGTGGTAAGCGATAAAAGAAGGAGAAAGAACAAGAAA